TGGGACAGCATCATAAAAGTTGAACTTCCATAAGTATATTTAATGTTTTTTGCAATTAAACTCGCTTCTCGGCTAATAAATACTTATTTTAAAAAATGTGTTTTAGCCAGAAAAAGAAGTGGCTGGCCCCATAGTCTGTCTATTGACCATAAACTTGAAAAGCTAACAGAGGCCAGCTAACAGTGGGCGAGAGCAACATAGCTTTTAGGTAGACAGTTAGACTGTTAGAAGACTGCTCGAAGGCTGTTAAGAAACTGCCAATTATGCGCGGACTTAACAAAATGTGACAGACGTCACTCAAGCGGCCAAGAAGCGAGCACAAAGCATTTAAGAAAATCAATAAATAAATATTTGAGGAGCGGATGTTAAGCCTGATGTCTCAAGTCTTAATTGCACTCGCTCACTCTGAGACTTTTTGACAACGAAAGGCAATAAGATATTTATGTCCCTGGTGGCTGCTCCTTCTTTGCTCTTCCCTTTTCTTTATTTTAAATATTAAAGTTAACCGCTGTAGGAGTTGCATAAGATACAACACGAGCCTGGCCAACTCTGCGTATGCTTAATTTGGGGAGTCCTTAAATATTCGATTGGGCCAAGGGAAAGAGCCCACCTTTGACCCTCTGCAGGAGCGGCTTTGTTTCTGGCCAAATCGTTGAACTCAAGTTCAAGAGTTCATCTCGTGGCAGCATCTGCCTTTTGCCTTCTTAGCCATGTTTATGGCCCCTTGTTGCGCATTTATTGTGTGGTTAAGCCAGTCTACGCCGTCTCCGTCGTCGTCCAGAACAAAAATAACAAAAATTGGCACTCGAGGGTTCCTTGACGTCTCCGGGATGAGAGATTCGCCTTTATGCTCTCCATTAATTCCATTCGGCCACCCTGGCTGGCTGTCTGTCTAACTCCCTGTCTCCTCACAAAAGCGAAAATTGGTTTAATAGTCGCGTCGTCGTTCGTTGTCTGAGCATTTGAAAGTATTTTCTTTATTTTTCTTTATTTTTTTTAGCATATAATTAATGATTAGTTGGGTCAGTTCATCAAGTCCATGGCGTTTTCAGGGGCTTGGCTTTACGCATCATTATTTTCCCCGTTCATTACCTCTTTTATGTTTGTGGTAAGATCGTTAAAGAAGTGTGAGGGAAGTGTGTTTAGAGCTTAATGACTCAAAACTTATATAGAAAAAATACCTTTTATTTAGAGCTATAAATAGAAATTTTAATCAAGTCTTCTGTAACATTTTATATCTCCCATTTACTCACGTAGATACCATTACATTTAAAATATTTTATTTCTATTATAAGAGGTGATTTCATTTTCTCAAGAAGTCTATTCTTTATATTTTTATTTCTTTGGCCAACATGCCCCTCAAGATTCTTGTTTTTCTTTCACACATCTCGCTGTTATGTGGAACGGTTAATCCAAGGTCTTTTTTAAGCTCTATTATGTAAACGAGCCAAGCAAGCATTTTATTTTTCTTTTATTTAATGTCACAAGCTAAATAAAATAATCTATTGCTGCTTTAATTAAAGTTACTTTGGCCCCACCAAGTCGTAAGCCATATTTATGTTGAGCTAAAAGGGCAGTAGCTTAGATTTTCTTGTTTTCAGGGGGTTTTTGTTTTAAAAGTGTATATTTTATTAAGTTCAAATATATGCAATTATATAATAAAAATATGCATGAACTGTAAGATCCCCCTTAGCCCCGACCCTGGCCCCACCACAGCTCGTATATCTTGCTAGCCAAGTTTGCTGTTCTGCTTTGGTAGAAACTACATAGCCAAGAGATTCATTCACTCATTCATTCATTCCGAACGCTGCTTGTTGAGCTTTTGTGTGTCTAAATGAGAAGGAATTTAAACACAGAATTAAGCTGGGAAGAAGTAACAAATTTTCTAGTGAAAAAAAATCTAAAACACGTTTTATCACCCGGCAAGGCCGCACAAAATTTGAGCCACCAGACGAACTCCAGGTCGCAGCACCACCTGGCAACTGATGAAGACGCGTCTTGTGCGCCCTGTCAGTCATTCCCCCCTTGAAAAGCTGCCCCTCTATACACAGAAATAAAATGCAGATGGAAAATTGAGGATTATAATAATATCTTAGAGTTTTTGGAACTATTTTTCTATTTTAGTAGAATTACTATAATTCATTAGTTTTATTTTTGTAGACTACAAAGTTTATTAAATACTTTTACATTAAACACAACTCTTATACATTTTAATAGCAAAAAGTATATATTTGTGATATTTTAAATTCGAAGAAGTTTGTCAATTAAGATACTCCTCACTGTAAATTATTTATTCTTTCGTCACACTAAATTTAATATAATTTTTTTGCTTTCTATTCATCTCATTGAGGTCTCCCTTCTTTGTGGTTCGTCTGGCGAAATTTCCATTTCGTTAAATGCAGAGAATTTACGAGCTTTCTGGCTGCACGTGCACCACATGTCCTTTCCGTCCGAAATGCTTTACGAGTCTTTGCCGTCGTCCTTTTGCCGGCGGGTGCTGGTTTGGGGGAATTTTCTAAATTTTTCTTTCTGTCCCCGACTTGAATGTTATTGAACTTTGGCGTCTCGACGTCTGTGACAGAAGCGAATAAGTTTTTTGGATAACGCAAATAAATTTTAAGCAGTCCCCGAGGACTCTGGCCGAAATAACTAAACAGAAATATACAAATTCAAGGAATATATATACATACACACTACAACTATGGTAAAGCTAGTGCATTTGTGTCAATAACCCTTATTAGGGGAAAAGCACAAAACTCCCACAAGTCATGCAAAGCTCATGCAATTTTCTCGGAAAATGGTCGACAACGACATTCTGCAAATTCCTTTTGGCAGACACAAGTTTTTCGTTGAAAGAAACTAAAGTTCCATCGATAATTGCTTAAAAAGTGTTGCAATTAGAGGGAGTGAAACCCCTTCTTCTAATGGTTTTTGTTGTGCTGCTAAAAATAAATGCAAATCACCTTTTAGTTGGATGTTATCACCAGGAAAAACATCTAACCAAAACCCTTTCTGTCCCACATGCCACGCCCTCGTCGCCACCAGGAACCCCCTTTGTCCTTCATTAAAAGCATTAACATTGCCAGTGGGGGAGAAAAAAATAGCAAAAACTGAACTAAAGATGCAATTTAAACGATGCTGTTGGGATGCCCACTTAGTTTAAGGCCTTGCGAGGAGTGGCTAGGGCTGAGGACTATGAATTTGAATTAAGTATTATATACTATATTTTTTTTTTTTATTTATTAATAATAGTGGTTTGTATTTGTATATAAAAATATTTCAACCTAGTTAATGTTTTCTTTGGTTTGACTTTAAGATCCAACATTGCAATTGGTAATTGTTGAGCATAATGATATATAGCACCGAATTTGTATCATGATTTCCAGAAATTACAGGCTACTAAGGAATCGACTACATATAAAACTCAGAGGATGCACTATACCCACTCCTTATGCACACCATGGGCGTGTGCGTTTGCGGGGATGCCTGTGGGAGGTGTGTTCTATTCTCCAGCACACGCTGCCCACTTGACTGGCTTGGGTGACGTGACTCCCTGAAATATGCAATGGTTTTTTGTTATGTTGCTACCAGACTTTCGCATTTCGCCCACTTTACGGCTCCGAATGGCATTTTCCCAACCCTTCTTGGCCTGAAGGGGTTGCACATTCGCCGCTTTTGTTTGGACTTTTGTGCAGCGTCGCCGCTTGGGTGTTTTAATGGGTAGCTTCAGCCGGGCCAGCAGGGTGCATCTGTGCGGGTGCTTAGCGCTTTATTTTCATTAACATTTGCAAGTTGCCTCTTCGGATTGCTTTAATTTACAGGGGACAAAGGCAAAGCGGCGCATGCGTTGAGGGAGCTGTAAGCTAACAGAGTCCCTGCAATTAGCAGGTTGGATTTTCCTAGGTGTAATGATAGGTTTTGGCAGAGAGTCGTGCATGACATGATATCTTATGGTACATATATCTGAATGACACCTTCTTTATGGCGTACAGTTCCGGAAAAGGCTAAAAGGTATGCAAAAGCAAATAAAATTCGATTAAGCATCATGGGCAAAGGGGAAGCACCCTTTGTATCTCTTACTTTTCCCTTCTCCTCCTTCAACCGCTATTAAATTATTAAAGCCACTGTCGACACAAAAAAAAAAAAAACGAAAAAAGGTAAAAGCTTTTATTGATTTTCATAGGGGCACTGAGAGAAAAATATTATATATTTAAACTTGGGGTTTAGACTTTAAAGTACCTAAAAATTGTTTCTATACAGAGCATTTTCTGGAGCGTCTAAGTTTACTTGTTAAAAATATGTAAATATGTAAATAGGTAACGAGAACACCTAAAATATTTGAATTAATATTAAACTATTTATATATAGCAAAGTTTAAAAATAACATAACTAAGCCAAAAAAACAATAAATTTAATTCGGAAAGTTATTCTATGCTAGCTCTTTCTAGATTAACAAATCTTCATACTAAATGTAATTGTTTAGAAATTAAAATTTTTGCCAATTTTTTACTATTTTACGATGTAACCCCTTATCAAATTTTGAAAAAAAAATTTTAAAAAAAATTGTACCCGGACAAGGGCAGAAAGGCTTGCTTTTACATGCTGATAATGAATATATATTTTACATTGGTTCGGAAATGACTCCTTTACTTTGTCACCAGCTTCTGATTAAAATTATAATACCCGATAAATACTTTTTCCCACTCATTTTCTCTCTCTGTACCCCATGTTTGCGGTTTCCCAATATAAAAAGAGACCCCATTTAAAGAGACGGGTCGACATCCTCGGCTGTTGTTGTTTCAAATTGACAATATAGAAACATTCGCAAGGTTGGGGTTGAAAGCGGCAACATATGGTGGCTTCCAGGCGAGAGAGCGTAGAGCTTTCGCCTTCCAGTGAAGAACATATGGGAGTCTAAAGTCCTTTCGTGGGAAATACACCCTAGAATATAGCCAGCTTTATCGATAACAGCCACCCCCATCAGCTGATAACAAGAGCTTTCCCCGATAGCTGTGGGTGACAAAAGCTGTCAGGAGAAAGTTCACAAATTTCCTGGACATTTCCATTGGTTTACATTTTCAGCCGCTTAACTTTTTCTGTCATCTTCTAATATGAATATTAAATAAAAATATAAATCAAAGCAACTGCAAAATCAGTGAACAATTCTAAGCCCGGGAAAGTCCGTGGCTGTAATTATTTCCAAGGCGTTGAAGTGTGAACAAAGGAAAAGTGTGTGCGGAAGAAGAAAAGTCCAAAAATCAATAAGCGTATAAAATTTGTAAACACGACAAGCCCTCGACCAGCCTCTCTGGATCTCTCTCTTTCCCCGGGTAACCACCCCCTCTCAATACCCATTCCACCGGTGAACTGTGACCGCCAGCTGCCCAAAAAGTAAAAAAAAAGAAATAAAAGAAAGGCTTGGGGCGTAAACATAAAACCACAAAAAATAACCATTAACCGTCACAATGATGGCCATTTGCGTGCTGTTACTGACGATGATGATCGCTGGAGCAGCGGCCACCGCAGAGCAGGTGGAGTACCTGGATACCCATCCGCGGCAATCGATGCCAGCGGATTACGATCACCGATTGAGCAAGCGCATGGATCTGGAGGTGTGCATAGGTGAGATTCGCTACACACTTTTAAAACAATTTCCAGATATTAATAAAGCCTATAAAACCTTACCCCCTAGGCCACTTTGATGTCCACAAAAACACCATAATTCGCACTGGAGAATCCCAGGCTATTGGCGGAAAGTATCTCCAGGGCCTCGAGCTGGACACCATTGAGGAGTGCGAGCGTCTCTGCTGTGAGACGGATGCTTGCGATGTGTACATCTTCGAGCGAAAGACCGGCGGCTACTGCTATCTCTTCGAGTGCGGTCCGCCCGAGAACTTCCACTGCAAGTTTACGCGGCACTCCAACTACACGAGCTCCGTGTTGACCCCGCAGGCACGGCAGACCAGCGAACTGGCCAGCACTCCGCGACCACAGCTGCCGCACATACCCAGTAACAACATTTCGCAGCAAGAGTGGGAGCTAAGCAACCTCAAGCTAAAGCCGGAAGCGAGGGACAAGCCCTCGGTGGCCTCGCCAGCGGTGGCTCCCACCGGCTCGGGGGGATCTGGAACTGGAGTGGGTGTGGCCCAAGCCCAAGCAGTTAACCCAGTTCAAAGTGGTGAGTTGTGGGTTTGATACTCTGGGTTATGTGGGGTATATATAAGTCTACTGTGTCTTCCATATGAGAAAAGTAGGTTTAACTTAAAGCTACTGAAGGGAGAAGATACCATTCCTCTTTTACATAAAAATAAATTTATATTTCCAAGCTGGGAACCTTTGAAGAATGCAACACTTTTAAGGTTCATTAAGTCCGGGGTATATTTTAGTCGTTATATACGAGTTCTTTCACAATGTTGCTATTTAAATGAATAACTAATTTTGCTCGATTTCAGTTCCCATTGCGCATTGTAGCCGCTTCCAGTTCACCTGCCACTCCGGTGAGTGCATTGCAGTGTACAACGCCTGCGATGGCATTCCCCAGTGCGAAGATGGCAGCGATGAGGGACCGGAAGTGAGTTAACCCTACCCTTGCAGTGATCGTGGTTTGAGCTAACTAACTAACCCACTTTCCAGTGCGATGCCGTATCATCGAGTGCCACGAAATCGAGTGGCAGCAGCAGCAGCAGCGTGGAGCCCGTGAAGCCAATGGTGCAGCAATATCTACCTGTGCAGCAGCAATTACAGGTAGCCGCTCAGCAGCAGCAGCAACAACAACAGCAGCAGCAGCCACAACATGTCATTGTTCTGGGGCCACCTCCTCCGCCGCCACCACCACCGCCCATGGTCAACAATCGCGAAGATGCCGCTGCTTGGGCAAACCGCAAGATGATTACCGAGGGGCAGCAACAACAGCCGCAACAGCAACAGGGAGGAAGCATAGCCACAGGTAAATATATATTATAAACTCATTAAAGGAAGAAACTGCCAATTAAAGTAAAAACATCTAGGAAAAATTTTAATTCAAATACTTTAAAAATATATATATAAACAATTGTTTCAACATTAATTTCATTATTTTGTTTAAAATTAAAGAAAAAATCAAATAAATTATATAAAGTTGAAGCTAAAGATAATATAAAGTTAGTTATAAAGCCCTAACAGATCCCGTTAGATTTTAAATCTATCTTATTCTCAAATACATTTCTGTGATTTTCCACAACTAAGTGACTTTGTCTTTCGCCTTAGTATTTTCTCTTTGTACTTTTAACATTTTAATTAAAGTCGATTGGATGTCCAGCAGCAATTAGACCCCGAGCGACTGACAAAACTAAAAATTAAGTAAATATTTATGAGGGAAAGGGAGCATCCCCGGAGGAGTCTCTGGCGCCCAGTGTGCGCGACATTAGCACACAAATTGGAGCCATTGGAGCGCACGCAATAATCGCACTGCCATGATGGCCAGCTGCCTGCCTTTTCCTGAGCAGACAAGCTTTTCTTCTGGGAAAATCGCAAATTGCCCATCAGTTTTCATTGTGTGAAACGCAGATGGGGCTGCCGTCGCTCAAAATTGATTTACGGATGTGGTGTGTGGTGAAGTGTGTGTGTTCGTGTTGTGGGTCTCTGTTGTCTACTCGTAATTAATTCAATTAGCTGTGCGTTAAGCTGGGAGACACACTTCTTACTTCCTTGTGCCGCCTTCCACTTTTTTTTTTGCAGATGAGCAGAGCCATATCTTCAGTCACAAAGGCCTCCAGTTACAGCCACCGTCGGCGAGTGCCCAGGTTCAGGGGCAGCAGGCACAGGGAGGTGCAGCAATTGTCCAGCAAGTTCAGGGACAATCAACACCGCTCCAAGTGTCTGCCTATGACAGCAATCAAGCCATGTACGGGATGTCGCTGCCACGCTCCGGAATGTATGTTTCCCAGCAGCAGCAGCAGCCACTCCAGAATCCCCAGCAGCAGCTCCAGGCAGCTTCCTCTGGCCAACAAATGTCTCCAAATGTGGTGTGGCCCCAACAGCAGCAGCAGCCACAGTTGCCGGTGCAGCAGCAACCACAACAGCAACTGAGTCAGGTCTATGCTGCAGCTGCTCCAGCTCCGCCAGTTCAGCACCAAACGGCGGCAATGCTGCCAGTCCTGAATGCTGCACCGGCTCAGGGCAAAAACCAGGCTCCCTCTGCTGATGGGGATTACGAGGATTACGACGAGGAAACCTACACAGAGGCCCCAAAAAAGGTAGTAAGCTTACACCCTAATCTCTCCTATATTTTAATAATTTAATCTTTAGAAGCAACACAAGCACAAGAAGGTCAAAGTCAAAACGGCCAAGGATCCCATCGAACTGGCCTTGGAGCAGAATAAGCAACAGCAGGAGACGGCAGCGGGTGCATCACTGTCATCGGCAACTCTGCTTGTTCCCGTTTCTGCCGTACACGAGCAGTACAAGATGATACACGAGAATCTGGCAATGGAGTTCCGGGACCACGACGGCCATTCGGAGCGTCCTGGCGGAGCTGTGCTCTCGCTGACTCTAGGCCTGTTGGTCACTGCCGCCTTGGCCATTCTCATTGGATGCCGAATGCGCACGGTTAGCCGGAGGGCACGGCGTTTGGGCGGCAAGACGCCCTACTCTCAGGAGGCCGACTTCCTGGTCAATGGCATGTATCTCTAAGGGAGGACATTCGTCGGTGTCGGGAACAGGGGGGTTGGCCAAGATTTTTGTTGTTCCACAAGCAGCGATGGGAATCGTAAATATTATAATTATTTATGATGTAATAAATGTAATAAGAAACATATTTTATATAAACAATGATACCAATGTATATCGAATAAAATTTAAATTAAATTATTTATCAGAGTGTTTTTTGACAGAATGTAACGTTGATTGGACTTCAACAAATTCTTATAAAATAATCCAAAGATCATGTCAATGGAGTTCCGGGACCACATAAAAACTTACAACTGGAAACGCATTTATAAATTAAAAAAAAAAAATTATTAAAAACCCAGCCATTTAAATTTTCCATTATTTTTTATTTAAGATCATTTTCCATCCTCGATTTCACTTTCTTTTTTGTTTACGAAAAAACTTACAAGTAGTTTTCTTTTTTTATGCAATTTGTTGTTTCAGTTTTTCTCTTGGATGTGACAATTTTTAGTCATTAAAACTACAACATAATAGGAAGTTGGTTTGTTTATATATTTTCGCTTTCTGTTGTTCTTTTTATAGATCAGCTCCATACTCTCTGCCTCCATTTTAAGCCCAAAATCAATGTTAATGCTCATATATATGTTTTCTAAAAGGTATTTGGCCAAAAAACTAATTTCAAACGCTTACAGATATCACATTAAGAAATTAAAACCGAATCGAATTTTAATATATATAAATAACAAAAACTTGTGTATTTTCGTTTTGGAATTTGGAATAGGGGTTGTCTTAAGTTTTGTATACATAGATTTATTTCGTTTTTTATCGTTTTCCACTCCACACATTTAGTCTTTTGTTGTTGAGAATTTTCCTTGCTGTGGCCAGTTTTCCGTTTTGTTTGTTTTGCGATTGAGAAAATATCATTATCGAAGATTGATGCCCTGACTTTGTTGGTTGTGTGTTATCAATGTATATATATATAATTTTTGTTACAAGTATTACGCATTAAAATAGGCTCTTTCTTTACTCGTTAGCTCCATTTTTCACCTAACACTGTACACATATAATGTAAACTAGTTGTATTTCTATTTATTTATGCAGTTGAATAGTTTATAGTTTAATGTGTCAATATGTGCAATTTAATATGCAATTTCTTGTCGAATGTGTCTCTCTTCGCTCAACTCGTGTCAATGTTTTTCGTTTGCTAAGCGATCTAAAACATAACGCATTTATCTCCAAAGGTTTGTTTTTTACAAGTCTTGTGTATAAACTCGATATAAATATGAATGGGGGATTGGGATCGACTATTTTCCTGGCTGTTGACGGCTGCTCTTCCGTACGTGTTATGTTAATTGTTACTGTTAATTTAATAGTTAGTGTAGTTTAATATATATTTTTATAAAATAGGCTTCCTCCTTAGCAAGATGCGAATTTTCGTTTCTGTTGTTGAAGTTTTCGGTAGATTGTGGTACATGTACGAAGCCAGATCTTACGCATCATGTTGCGTACCTGTTAAGGCATTTTACATATATATATTGCTGGCATCTGGTTAATTATTATATCTAGTAGACTCACCGCTTTGTCCAGAGACGCGCAATTCGATCATGCTCCTCTCGATTTTGCAAATATTGCGTGGCAATACTGCCGACCAGCGGATCGGCTGCAAAGGATGATACAATTTAATTAAAGATGTTTATATATCATTTTTATTATTCAAAAAAATCTATTTTCTATTCCCTTACCTGGATTACAGTCTGTGAGCAGGGAGCAAATTGACAGCAACACCTTTGATATGGTCAGCGCCGGCGACCAATTGTCCTTGAGTATGTCCAGGCAGATCACGCCCTGGCTGTTGATATTACAGTGATAGATGCGCGTACGGAACGTGACTTTGGGCGGCTTAAAGGGATATTCCGGCGAAAAGTGTATATCGAGGAAGAATACTCCGCCCTCGTAGACGGAGCCCGGTGGTCCCAGGATGGTCGAAACCCATTCGTACAGATTGTCGCCCTTTGGCCCGGCACTGCAATTGGGCGGCGGGTCTAGTGTGATCTCGGCCAGCTCCTTTTGTATGCGCTTTGCCGACGTGCCCAACGACTTGGATATCCTGGGCGTGGGCTTAGTCTCCTTGCGCGGCTCATCACCGCTGCCGGTATTGCTGCCAGAGGCACCGCCATTGGCTCCGCGGCCACCGCGAGCAGGTGTCGTGGCGGCTGCGGCTGTGGTTTGATTGGCGTTGCTGGCATTGCTGGTTGCTGTGCTGGGTGCGCTGGCATTAGAGCTAGCGCTGGAGGTGGCTACCTCGGTGGCACTGCCTGCGGCTGGCGTTGAAGACATGACTATTATTTAACTCCGAGCGGCTGTAACGACATAGAGTTTAGATTAATCAGTTTTTGAGTGACTTGCTTTGTGAGGCAGGGGAAATTTGATGATTTTTAAGGGATCTGAGGCTGCTTTGATTATACATAAGTTAATTTTACTTGGCTATTTTTAATTGTAAATATCTGAAACGTTGGATTCTACAGCTTATTTCAAAAATCAATATTATATGTGGTCCTGATAGAATAAAATTCTTCATAGAACTATTATGACGTTATTTATTATAGCTATTTTTATAAATAAATGCCAGAAACTTGGGTTTTCTTATTTTATTAGTATTATGTTTTTTAATAAATAATTTAAGCCATAAAACTATATCCTATAGTTCCCTGTAAGAGTACCCATTGTTTACCAATGTAAACTCTAAAGGCCTTCGCCTGCATGTGACCCTCCGAGCCCCACAGGGTCCTTGACCTGGTTTACAGCTCAAATAGAGAGAGGAGTTCACAGTGGAGCCTACTCGACTTTGTTTTTGACAGCAACGGCGCGCAGGGGATTGCCTTTATTCGCACTAACGCACACACATTTTTATTGGCCGGGGGCAGCGGCCATTTTGGCAAAAACCCTTCGACGAAGCGGAAGAGGGGCCTACTACGGTAGACATGGGCATTCCGGCGACCCTGGAACGGGCTATACGGTTCCGTGCAAGCGAAAAACATACTTTCAGCTGCAGGCGACGCTGCATGCGGCAAAAAATCAATCGGCAGTAGACATTTGCAAAACGCGTTGCCGCTGCCGCCGCCGTCGATTATGATGCCGCCGCTGCTCCTCGCGTCGCGCTGTTTGCACCATGATTGCTCACAATTTCCCGGAACGGAGTGCGGCCGATTAAGCAGAGCTATGGTGGCTGGCTTTCAACTGATACTCACCTCGTTGTCGCAGTTAATTTCGCTTTTTTTCTATCACAACACTTGCGAAAACGTCTCGCTCGCCTCAGTCGCCTGCTGCTGCCCTCTCGCTCGCACTCGTGCGCCTTCGGCCTTCGCTGTGGGTGGGCGTGCAGCTCCTATCCTGCTCTGCTCACGTCGTCCGTGCCGGGCGGTATTTGGGCGTGTGTCGCGACAAAATTGGCACCTTCGCGGGCGTCTTTATTTGCTTAAAATCGGTCTTTGCAAATTTGATTGGGGAAAAAGCCGTCTTTATCTTTGATTCAGAGTGGCCGCGTCGCGACGTTTCAAATATGCCACAGAAAATACCGCAAAATGCATGAAATATACCAAAAAGTACACCAGATAAAGCTATCGATTTTGCTTATCGACAATCGGCTGCCACGGTCTGGCAACTCTTATATCAAATACCATTTTCCACTATATGGCAACCATCACGGCATATCCTATTGTTTTGAAAATATTTACGAAAATGTCGTTAATTTTGTAAGTTTTTACTTTTAACTTATCTCGTATTTATTTTTTTTTCTACAAAATTAGGTTTACTTGATCTCCACATCGTCTGATACCGCCTTGCGGGACTTGAAAATGCGTACGGAGTTGTCGGCGCCACCAGAGATGATGTAATTCGGGTTGGACCAGTCGATGTCGAGGACCTTTTCGCCATGACCCAGCAGGTCGTACAGCGGGGCCTTGGGACTCCTGCAGTCCCACAGCTTGTTCTGGTTGTCGTAGGCACCGGAGACGAACAGGAACTCCTCCGTGGTGGACCACATGACGGTCTGCACCCAGGCATTGTGTCCGAGGTAGGTGTTGCGCACCACAGAACCCTCTGAAAAGGCACATTAAGATAAATTTAGTCCGACTTCATAGATAAAAATACAGAAAGGTGATCCTACGGTTTGTTCTGGCATCGTAGAGCCTCAGGTTCTTATCCGCCGAGGCAGTCAGTATCAGGCGGTTCAGCTTGGAGTAGCTGGCGTCGAAGATGGACTTGTTGGTGGATATCTCGGTCTTGATGCCCTCGAGGCTCAGGTCCCAGACCTTCAGAGTGTGATCCCAGCTACCGGTGAGCAGAGTAGAGGCATCCATCCACTGAACGGCTGAGATGCTCTCCCGATGTCCCTGCAGCGTCATTTTGGGCGTCTGCAAAGAAAGAAAAGTTTAAAAAGAACACCAAGCTAGAAAATAAAGATAGTACGCACCCTCACACCGCTTTCCTTCATCCGCTTAGACGTGCCCTCGGCGGAATCTTCCAGCTCGGCGGACCACACCTTAAGCATGGTGTCCCAGGAGCCTGTGGCGAATCGCTGGCCATCGGGGCTAACGCTGACACTATCGACGCCACGCTCGTGGCCCTTGCAAACCGAGACGCACTCTACCGAATTGGCGGCCACGTTCCACTGCCAAAGCATGGCCGTCTGATCCTGCGAGGTGGAGACAAAGCGACCTTTCTCCTCGTCTAGGGATATCCAGTCCACCGCCTTGATGGGCGCCGTGTGACCGGGAATGGTGAGGATGTGTTTGCCCTTGTTGGTCCAGATATTCAGTGTGTTGTCGTAGCATCCGCTGAGGATCCATTTGCCGCTGGCTTTCACCGCCGACACCCAGTCGTCGTGCAGCAGGCAATCCTGCGGTTCTGGTGCCGGAAAACGTTCCACATACTCTATCTCAATGGCGTCCTCAAAGCTGATGGCCTTCTCCCGTAGGTGGTCGCACAGTCGGCCGCGCAGGTACTCGTCAAACACCAGGAAGTCGAAGTCCACGACGGCTCCATCCTTCTGCTGGAGCAACGCGTTGACGAAAGTGTTCAGTTCCACGGTGGCCACGGTTCCATCGATCGCGTAGGGCACATCCGGCACGGCATAACTGGGGAGATACTCTTGGAGTGACACATTCATTCACATTTCTGAAGGATACTCACTGTTCTTGCTTGGTTTTGAGGTGCACCTGCACCTGCCCCTCGCCGTTTTCCACATCCATCGCCGGGCCCACGTGCGTTTTTTCTAAGCGGTACTTGTTTCTCTCTCGGATCGGCTTTTGTGCCGCAACTGTCACTGCCTTTTATGGCGTCACTTCGAAGGCCCAGGAGTGGTTAAACCGGGCAAAATTTAAAGCTATTAAGGTTTTAATAAAGTTAACAAAAAGCGTGTTTTTAAGAGCGAATTAGAGATGCAAGAACCTCGATACGAAAGTGGTGAAAGGTATCGAGAAACTTTTGGCGTTGCCAGACTTTGATTGGGTAATATCGAACTATCTTCAAACGGCGCTGCCGGACTGAATGAAGAAATTGATTTAGAAGGGCGGGAAGCAACGGTTTTTTGAATTTATTCTAACTTTTTGTACTTACTAAAAAAAAAATGTTTTCCTTAAAACATATAAAGAAAATCATTTAAATAAAATAAATGGCTATAGTTATGAAATTGCCTTAAAATAAAGTTTAATATCTGGTATAGCCGATCATAAAACTATACCACTCTGTTACAACATTAAATACAAGCTTAAACTAATATTAATAATATAATATATGTACGAGCTAAATTTGCAATATTTAATAATTAAAAAATTTTTGCAAGCCAAGCAGGCGCCGATGTCGATGCCGATGATTTGCTGTAATTTGGTTTCTTGCTCTCGCACTTCCCCTCCGTTTGCTCGTCTTACGCAAAAACGGAAAAATAAAAAACGACCAGCCGTGGCAGCAATTTGTAAATGACTCTTCAAAGACTGGTAATTGTTAATCTGTTATGTTTCTTCTTTTTGATTTTGGCTATTAATACGTACCAGATGGCACCTGAAAGACCACTTTTGTGGCTAACTGCGCACTGGAAGGTTAAATGCCACTTGACATTTCCGAAGTGGCGCTTAACCTTCGCATTAAAATTGGACAAATGCCCAAGAAATGAATTTCCAATAAACGAAAAAAGAGTGGTTACCTTTATGGGTCGCTGGGATATTAAGTTGGAAGTAATAACACTGCAGAGGTTTTTTTTTGCCGACTAAAACCAGAAACGAGGCGAAATGGAATATGAAAGAGCTAAAGAGTTGAGGCTGAAGCTTTCCAGATTTTCGGGGCTTCCAGCGACGGAGCTACGGCGCTGCGCTGCCCAGAGCTGTCAGCTTATAAAAAAGGCACGGCGCCTGCGCAGCCGAAACATTACAACAAACGCCGCGCGCAAGGTAAGACAGGCTCGATTCGATAACTCGACCACTCTAAAAGCTGTCTCCTCCGAAAGCAGAGATCATCCCCGTAAAAACCCAAAAACCCGACAAACCAAACAAGATGAAAGTGTTCGCGCTGTGCTCTATGCTCGCCCTGCTGCTGGCCGGCGCCCAGTCCCTGCCCCAGGGTCGCGAAGGTGCCGCCTACACAAACGAGGCCATCCGGCAGGCGCAGCAGACCCTGCTCATTCCCAAGGATGCCCAGATCCAGAACGTCCAGGAGGGCATCGAGCTGGGAGCTTACGAGCAGATACCCGGCAACCAGCGCATCAACCTCTTCGAGATTCTGGGCGACCAGGTGCCCTCCGAGGTGATAAACAACCTTCAGTCCCAGGTCGATCAGATCGGTCGCAACTGAGGTCGTAGGTTAGATTCAAAGCATTCATCATCGCACCCACACTCATTGTTAAGTTTCTCGGTAATAAATGTACAAAAAGAAAGAGCACTATCCATATTTAATCGATGCGTTTCTGTATTTTTTCGAAAGCGAAAGTGATCCTCCCCCGAGAAACCAGTTGGTTCCTCTGCAAACTCTCCTCGATCGGATTGGATCGCAGTGATTTATTTCGCTTTTTTGTGGCCTTTTCCTAATGCTCTTCGCCAGACTTTCTCCTCGCTGCTGCTGCTGCTGTGCGCATACTGATTAACCATAAATCGTCGGTAGGTTGGTTGTTGTATCCTCAACCTTGTTATGCAAGCGGCTGGACAGTGCGCACTGAGCACTGCGGTTCACTGCGATGTAACCCGAGTCACTTAGCCCCGGCAGCCGCCGGCAGCTCTTGGGTCGTGATGCAACAGTTGTCGTCGCCGTTGTAGCCGTCGATTGTTGCTTCGTTCGGTTTGTTTATTTAATTTCTCGGTAATTGCCGCCTCATGCACTCGCATGTGTAATGAGGGATTCGATCCGCGGCAGAGGCGTGGCAGATGCTGGTTGCGTAACCATCGGGTAGGACCGGTGGCCTTAGGGCCTGTTCACCTGGATTTTTACACGTACTTAACTTGGTGAAGTGTCTTTATTTGTACTTCTGCAAAGGGTTATCCTTATTTTCCTTCCCTCCTTAAAAATTCCCTCTTTTTGCTCTAGAATTACCTCATTTTTATTTCATAATTCATACATTTTAAAATGAGCTTGATACTAAATTAACGCTAGTTAAAGTATTTTCATAATGTAGTTTAGTTTGTCTCGAAAAAATCGGTGTGTTCGTGAGAGAGTGTGCATGATCATCGCCTAAATAAATTATGTTTATAATAGTATTTAATTATTAACTAAAGAATGACTGCTTTTTACTTTTGACACTTTGCTTTTGAAATCCTTCTTCCTTCATTCAATGTCAAGTTTAAATTAGTTAAATTTTATATAAATTACGTTGTTAAATGTAGAAGTAATTGTAATTAGCTTTAAATTAAAACTTTGCCATATTCAGTCTAAACTTAAAAGCTTTTCAAATCAAAGAGGACTATATAGTAGTTTGCCTTTGCATTTTTAAAAATAAATCACCGCCAGAGCGAATAGTTAGTTCATACGTTACTTCGATAAGAAATAAATTACAAATTAAATAAAATCATGATGAGATAAAACAAGTTAAAAATTTCTCTTCTTACTCGATGAATTTCGATCGTGGATTTGGATGGATGTCTTGGAGGTGCACTTAGGTCGATGTATTTATAAATATAGAAATATATAACTAGGCAATACAGGATTGCCGGATAATGAAACATTTCGTTATTGCATTTGGGGAGCCCAGCTATGATTACGTTCGTAGGTCGATAAATTCAGATGGTCTTCTATGCAGTCTATGGAAATGATCATCTTCGAAGGATCCTCCTCCTCCCTCCCCTTTCTGGCTACTTAACCTAACTCTGTCGCTCGCTTGAATGGTTCGATTTTTGTTGCGCTTCCAAGCTACTAGGCTTTGTGGCAGGGCTGCTCGCACAGAGACTTCAGGGATCCCGAGACAGTGTGTGTGAAAGTCCGATAATCCGTCTGTAAATCCCGGAGTGTTCTGTGTGGGCAGTTTTGCCTCACGGTGTATGTATATACAATAAAGGCTTGATCTTCTCCTGCTGCGGCTCCTCCTCAGTAGATCCGCTGCAGGTACAGGCGCCCCAGTGGTAGGGCCCTTTCCACAAAGCTCTTCTCGGCCCTCGCCGAAGACTTGTCCACCGAACTGGTCCCGGGCCCGGACTCTTGACTTTCGTCCAGCTTCAGGCTTTCGGCATCGGCCTTTGGATCCACTCCGCCCACTTGACCTGCTCCCGAACCTAGCTCATCGATATCCAGAGCAGACACCGGCATGGTCTTGGGCGTGACCTGTTCGCGGTCTCGAATCTCGCCGCTGCCCAGCTCCACCTCTTCGCCTGTCTCGTTCCTGGCGATCTTCTCTAGCTGCTGCAGATCACTGCCGTTCTGGATGCGCGTCTCTCCGGATATGTCCTCGCCACTGTACATCAGCAGGGGCACCAGGACGCTCTTCTCCCGAACGGAGGAGGCAGCCACCATCATGCGATCCGTGGTGGAGGATTTCTCTTGGTAGAGATCAATGTCACCGCCACCGCTGCCGCCGCCGCTGCCACTACCATCCAGAGTCATGTCAGGCGTCAGCTTCACATGCCTGGTGTCCATATCAAAGGGACTGGTTATGCTCCTGGGCTCATCGTTCTCGGGCTCGCCTATATCTTCGAGCTCAACCAAGGGAAAGTTGACGTCGCGCAGACTGAAGTCGTCGCCGGGCAGCGAGGGATAGGCGGGATTTGACTCCACCTGGGGCACATCATCTTCAACCTCCATGTGGTGGGTAGAACGCAGCGGCGGCATCTCACTGCTCACAGCTGCCGGACCCTCTGTGCTGATCTCGGTCTCGGATTTGGTAATGTTACCGGAGGGTGAGGCCTCCTGACTGGCTCTAGGCGGTCCATCTGTGGTGATCTTGTTCGAGGCGGTTCCAGGCCCCTCGGTGGTCGAGATGATGTGGTAGATGTTGTCACTTCCGGCCGTATCCGGTTCTAGGTCCCTATCTGATTCAACTAGTGAATCCCTGAATCCATTTTGAATAAATAGGCCTGCATTAAGTGGAGCTGCCTCCTCGTAGTTCCTGGTGCTAGATTCAACTCCCTCGGTGGTGTACTCCCGCTTGATGTTCACCTTGCTAGGATCACTTTCCGCCAGCGGCTGCAGTCCATCGGAATTGTAGGTGACCAGAGGCTTCACCTGTTGCTCCACGACGTTGCTGCTGCTGGAGGCCAGCGGCCGTTCGATGTAGCCCACGGAGGCGATGAGCTTTAAGCTCTCATTGCTGCCAGAGCCCCCTACTTTGGGGTTGCTGTCTTGGCTGGGCTGCGTTGGTGTTGCTCCGATGACCGTTGGTGTTGCTGCTCTTGCTGCTGCAGGTAGCACTGGCGACATGGCCACTGCAGGAGTGCTGCTAAGAGCTGGCGTAGAACTCATGGAAGCCGCTGGAGTCGTTGGCGCCGCCGTGGTACTGTCCAAAGATCCTCCTGCTGTGCTTGATGTGGGTGGCGCAGGTCCCTCGGTGGTTGGCAGCAGGTTGCTGTTTGCCACCTTCCGGGTGGGTATTATCGATGGCTTGACCTTGTTGTCATCCGTTATCCGGATCTCTGTCGGCTTGGTTATCTCTTTGATGGTAATGTTCCAATTGAATCCCGCCGGCTGAACCTGGGGTGCCGGCTTCTGGGTGGTGGAGGTGCTGCTACTCATGGCCTCGCCAACCAGCGGATTGTTGTCCAGAACTGGAAGAAAGATGTTGGTAAAATTGGGGAACTAAAGGTCATTGGGTGGCGGCACTCACTTGGACAGTTGTCGTACTCCGGACAGCAGCGGCCGGGCACGTATTTGGGCATGCAGTCGTCGCGCCGGAAACAGGTCACCGAGCTGCAAACAATATCGCCGCCTGAAAAAATAAATTGAGTGTGTGTTTTTTAGTTAAAAGTGTTGGCGCAGCAGTGCGAAAATCATGTTAAGCTCCCATCTGTTTAACAGGTGCAAAAATAATATTCTTATAAAAAAACAAAAATAGGTTTAAATGTTTGCTTAAAGTTTTAAACAAATATATAAACATTTAACATGCCAAGGAAAAATTCAAATTGTTTAATTTTATTTAATTTTTTAAATTAATTTTACTATTTTGTTGAAATTTTTAAGGAAATATCTAAAAACATTTCAGTGTTAATTAGTTAAAGATAATTTATTCTAACCTTTTAACTACTGTAAGAAATAGATAAATTTTTGTAAATTATAAATAATATAAAAAATTATATTATAATTATAACCTACGCCTCCAAACTTATAGCTTCCGTTTTCCAAAATTACTGAGAAATCTTAATATAATTATGTAAAAATAAATACTACAAAATAAATAAGAAGCAATAAGCTTCCATAAACACTCGAATCCCAATTAAACCCTGCCAAAGTGTGTCCCATAATTTCCCCGATCACCCACAAGACTTGGTGTCTAATTTTCGGACTCACCTTTGCAGTAGCACACGGTGCACGGCGTGTCCGGATCAACCAATTTATAACCATTGGCATAAGTTTTGCCATCCTTTTCGCAATCTGCGGGCCAGAGAGAGGTGAGTGAGCATGGAGAAGGGGATTTGCATAAATGCATCCGAGCGGATGGTCGGATGGTGTGGGCACTTACCGCATTTATAATCGGGACAGCAGTGGCCTGTGCGCTGGATGGCCCGGCAACTGGCCTGCTTCTTGCACCGCACCGCAGTCTCTGCCACCCAGACTCCATCCTGCAGGCACTGGCCTATAAACAATTCGGGGAGACAGAGGAGAGAGTGCGAGTGAGAGTCACATTGTTGGCAGTTTAGTTTCGGGAGAAAAAGCACCAGGAGGAGGATTAGTTTTCGGGGTCTTACCCTGAGGCTGCTGCTGTTCGGCCAGCGATTCCGTGGTGCTGCTTCCGGTTCCGCTGGAGCTGGAGCTTCTATCCGCGATGCTTGGCGTGACCGCGACCGTGACGACTGTGGAGGAGGCACTGCTGCTGCTCTCAATGGCGGGCACTGCAGAAAAAAGGGGAGAAAAGCCGAGTGTGAAATAGTAGAGGGCAGAAAGTCAACAAAACGCCATTGAGAAGAATGCGACACTGGCAGAAAATAATAGTAAGGCTTGTAAATGTAATTACAGTTATATAAAGGGGCTATATTTCTCTGTCGAATTTAGGATTATATTTATTATTATTCTGTCATTATTATTTTTCAAAAGAGATCCCTGAATTTTAATAAATATATTGGAAGAGAATTCTCTATTGATAGTATTATATTTTTTAGGCACTAAAAAACTACCAGGAAGTGCCTCCTGATAAGCTACTTTAGCTTGGAATTTCCCTCATTATATCTCAATAAATATTTTCTCATTAAATATTTCTTATACTTCTCTTAAGAGATTAAGAAATTAATTGACTTAAGAGCTTCTCCCTGAGGTCCTAATATATAAAGTCCTTGAATTAGATTATCACTACTGGTTTTTAGGAATATGACCAGGAGGGACATTTAAATTTCTTCCCCAACTAAGTGCTGTGTCAGTGTGTTTCTTTAATGAAAAGGAAATGCAAATTGCCCAGCTCCAGCTTTAATTTACACTTGTAATTGGATTATTTTTGTATTTTTTTTTTTATTTTCGTAGAGTGTAAAGGGACAGAGGCAAATGTCCTTTGGCCTCCTGGCTCCCTGTCAGTCGGTACATATTTGAATGAATGACATTTTGATAACAGTTGTTTGTTGTTCCTGTTGCTTCTGCTGCTGCTGCTCCTCCTCGCTTTTCCCGCTGTGAACTGGGCAAGGTAAAATGCTATCAAAATACGGCAAAGTTAAATGAGTTTAGTTTTAGTTTGGCTTTTTTGTTTGCCCAGTTTGAGGCGACTCCCAATTGGGACCAAAACCAGAGCCAAAGCCGAAACCGAAACCGAAACTGACAAAGAGGAGCACAAGATGGAGTGGCAGCCGCTTTGTCTACGCTCCTTGATTGTCCAGTTTGGCGAATAATTCCGATTGACAAGAGGCTTGTCTGAGCCGAAAAAACATTTTCCATTTCCCATTTCACATACCCTACCCAGGAAAATTGTCTTACTTAAAGACTTCTCTTGTCCGAGCCTTGTTGTCACTTTGCTATGAAAAATGATTAAATATGTGCGAGCATTAATCATACGCCCCGTGCTCCGGTTTTATTGTGGCTGCGTTCTGGCTGGCCATCCTTTATTTCGGGTCCCCTCATAAACTGGAGCTATGTTTACACACACTCCCACACACACGGGACACACACATCCCTCACTAAATTGTTTTCCTAGAACTCATTAAGGAAACTGCATATGCTGCTCACTTCAATGTTTTGTTGTTTGGTTTTATTTTGGCGTTCTGGATGGGGGAATGAACTCAACAGGGTAGATTTGATTTAAAATAAAGTTATTTTAATGTAGGGAAAATTTTGTAAAAGTTACTGGAATTAAGGTAGGTATTTCATGTATTTAATTTAAATGGAAGTTCGTTTGATATAACTCTCTCAAAAAGGTGAGTGTTAAGGGCTTTCGAAGTTGAAATAAAATATACTTTAAATTAATATCTTTATCTTAATGAGACCCCACGTAAAATTACACATTTTTGTGTGTAAAAACTAAATCTATTTATAATTACTTTCCTTCTTCATCATCTCCATTAAGCTAAGAACATTTCAGTTATTGTTTTGAGCTTCTTTTGCTGCTTTCCGTGCAGTAAAAATAAGCTAAAATCACCCCCTCTATGACTCTCATTTTTAGAATTTTTAAAGCGTTTTTTTTCGGATTTTTTTTTTTGTTTGTGGCTCGTTATGCAATACAGACAACGCCACACACATGTCTGAAATCCGAAATGCTGCAATTAGTAGAACAGCTTCCCGTTTTGCGCTCTGTTTTCATTGTGGAACGCAGCGCTAATTCTACGACTTGCCATTGTCTCTGGGGCCTCACTTATTCTGTTTCTCTTTTTTTCTTTTCGCCTAATTTTTGGCTAGCCAACACGTTTCAAATGAGCAGAATTATTATGCACATTATGTGGAGCAAGCGGGCGGACGGCTGACATTTGTCTGTGACTCGGCGACGACTCGACTCGCGTCAGATTACGTATACGCCACCGCGAGACTTGGTCGTGATGCTGAAAGTTCTGTAATCCTCTGTCTCGGCCGACTGACAATAAATTGTCCCCTGCGAAATTGCATTGTAAATTCGCTTTTGATTGTTTTCCAGAGAAAAACACACAGAGAGAAGTTATTATGTAAATGTGAGGCAAAGGTTGCCGCTGGCTGCTGGCTGATTCATGCCCATAAATTGCATTGATTCTAAATTAATGTTGGTTTATTTTTGTCGTGATAAATGATAAGCACAATACCGGGGCAATTGTTATAAACAAGCCAAAGAAATGACTTCCAGGGAAGAGGAGTCACTTCGGGATGGGATCTTATCAGAAGGAAGCCATTAAGATCATCGTTGGCTTTGGTTCAAATTTTTGACATCGGCCCTTGTGAGCTCTACTATTAATAACACTTAACACCCATTGATAAATACGGTGGTGGGCTATAAATGCCCAAGGCCGCAAAACCAACAGCAATAACAAATCATCCGAAATCATCGCGGAAATTGCGGAAAATTGTCTCGCCCCGGCACGACGCCCACACACTTCATAAACTAAACTACTCAACTTTAGCCGGAGGCCGCCACAGAGAATATTTTCCATCATTATTACATTTTCACCAAGTGGCTTTTCTCTCTTTCTCAGAATTTCCTTGAAGCGTTTAAATCCTTGCGGGGCTTGGACTGGGCCTGAGGCTGGGGATGGAGGCTCTTAAGCAGTTTGCGGTTAGTTAGATAGAAAATGCGCTAGTTTGACATGACTTCTGCTCAGCCAAACGCAATAAAGAAATTCTTAGCCCATGAATCGTAAGTGTAATTGCTATTTTATCGGGGTAAAGTTGTCCAAGTCAGCGAACTGTGAAATTATTGCTCTCTCTGAAAGGGATAACATTAACAGGAAGAGTTAAATAAATCGTTTTATGACAGCTCCTAGGCTTGACTATATAAACTTTAAGCCATATTAATAAAGTCTAGTAAAAGTGATTTAATCAAAATTGAATAGAAAATAAAGTTTAAAGGATACGAAATGGGATTAACTATTATATTTAAAATGTTAAGCATTATATAATAAACATTTTCAGGCAAATATTTAATCACACAAACGTTGTGACAATAAGGAATTCTCTTGAAAATTTCATTTAAGCAGCTTGTCAAGCATTAATCAGGCAACATTGTGACTATTAATCAATGAATTCGCATAAATTATGAGTTGCTTAATCTTATTATAATATATATTATATTATATTTCTTTTTATATTCCCTGTCAATCCGATCTTCTCCGCTTGCATGTCACAAAAACTAAACTCCAAATTGGTAACAAGAATATGCCGTCATGCTTATAGACAGCTTTATATGTATATATATGTACTACCAAAACCCCATCCATGATAATTCCATTGTTTCCATGGGGAATTTCAGCGGAAACCGAGAAACCAGCGGCGCGTAAGTCAGGCAGTTGTGAATGCGATTTCAAATCGACGCTTAAATGCCATTCAAAACGAAAGCAAAAACAATAATAAAAACAATCAGAATAAGGCGGAGGGTGGGCCACGGGGCTGACAAGCGGACAAATGACAACAAATGAGCTTTTCGAGTGTTCTGCCCTCGGTTCTGGCCTTGTTGTTGCACTTGTTGTCCCGCCTCTGGACAAAGATGATAAATGAGGTGACGCCGGGAGAGAGACCTTTGTCTCAAAACAACAAACTCATCGCGAAAGCTAAATATCTAAGACAACAAATTGTACGGTTAAATGGCAGGTGATATGCACGAAGCCGAGGAAAAGTTCGCATTGAGGTGAAACCAATCAAAAGTTTAACAATTTAATTTTAGTCTGCAAGAAGGAGAACAACATATGGCTTAAAGGGAAATAATGGATATTAAATAGATTATGCATTCCAGCCAATTTGGTTGTTTAACTTTGGTGTAACACTATGGGAAAGTTCGGTCCAAGCTGGCAAAACTTTGCTATGACCTCAAAAACTAATCTAAAGTTCAGAAAACAATTATAAGTTGCATAATCGAGAACATAATGGTTTTAAGGCAATAAAAGTCAATGGGAAATATATTGAATAACGGATTAAAAATTATTTTTAGGAAAATTAATATTGGAAATATTCAACAAATAGATAAAATAGTACAGAAGAATTCTCCCATCACCTGTTAATGTTTGGTTTCTTATTTATAAATCCATATTTTTCTGGCATTACAACTAACAAATAGGTGAGTAAGCCAATAGAATAAACATTACATTAGTTTACACAAGTGATTTCTGAAAGCCCAATTGGTTTTCAGAAAAGACAAACACCTGTCTGTCATGTAATATCCAGCCCAGGTATCTTTGTTACCAACACAAAGTATCAACGGTAAAGTATCTGGAAAGCTTTCACTAAAATGCAGCAAGTGCTAAGCTGAGGGCCTTATCAAATTATCAGGGTGGACGTGTGAAATGCTATAGTAATATTGTAATTCACAGAGCCGAGATCCAACCGTAAAGCATTGCGTGTTTGCATTCGTAACCAACCGTAGTAATCCCCATTCTATCTCTGTCCGAGGCGCCTATTTAAATTAATAATGGCAGGAGGAGGAGGAGGACACCCTGACCACCGCCCTTCGTCGCCTCATCCGACTGTCATTAGCCGCAGCTTGGACACAGGATTCCCCGGTAAGCCCAGGGAGATGGAGCCAGGCCTAATTGTAGCAATTTGTGTAATCACATATCGGCATGTGCGCACTGGTATCACATTTCACAATGCCATAGATTACACCCTGGGATTTATTTCAGTAGGCAAATTAAATGTCCATAATTACTTTTGACCAATCAGATGTCAGCTAAATAAAGATGCATCATGGGTTAATTACATTCCTTGGAGGCATTCCTAATCAATTTTAATTAAGACATCTTTT